CAGAGGAACTGTACAAAAAAGATCTTCATGATTCAGATAATCACGATGGTATGATCACTCACACTCACCTAGAGCCAGACATCCTGGAATGTGAAGTCAAGTGGGCCTTAGGAAGCATCACTATGAACAAAGTTAGTGGAGGTGATGGAATTTCAGTTGAACTATTTCAAATCCTAAAAGACGATGCTGTGAAAGTGCTGCATTCAATACACCAGCAAATTTGGAAAACTCAGCAGTGGCCACAGGACTGGAAAAGGTCAGTTTGTTTTCATTCCAATCCCAAAGAAAGGCAATGCCAAAGAATGCTCAAACTACCGCACAATTGCACTCATCTCACATGCTAATAAAATAATGCTCAAAATTCTCCAAGCCAGGATTCAGCAATATGTGAACCGTGAACTTCCAGATGTTCAAGGTGGTTTTAAAAAAAGCAGAGGAACCAGAGATCAAATTGACAACATTTGCTGGATCATTGAAAAAGCAACAGAGTTCCAGAGAAACATCTCTTTCTGCTTTATTGACTATGCCAAAGCCTTTGACTGTGTGGCTCACAATAAACTGTGAGTATGAAGTTAAGTGTTAGTTGCTCAGTCGTGTCTGACTCTTTGCGACCCCAGGAACTGTAACCCACCAGACTTCTCTGTCCATGGGATTCTCCTGGCAAGAATACTATAATGGATCACCATTCCTTTCTCCAGAAGATCTTCCCGACCCAGGGATCTAACCTGTGTCTCCTGCATTGCAAGCAGATTCTTTAATGTTTGAGCTATGAGAATGTGACCAAGGTATATTGCTGGTAGAGCCAATGGGAGGAGACTTTGACCTTCTCAGAGAGGTCAGAGAAGACTCTCCAGGGCTGAAAAGGAATGAGAGCTGACTGGGTGATGAGAAGGGGGCAGAGCTTCCCAGTAGAAGGAACAGCACATGTAAAAGTCCTGTGACAGCAGGCTACAGGGCCAGAGCAGGGTGGGAAGGAAGCCAATCAGGTTGATGCCAAAGGGAAGAATATAAGGCATGAAACTGAAGACACAGGCAGGGATCAGACCTTAAGCTTTGGCTTTATTCTGAAAGTGACAGGGAACCTCTGATACCTTTTGGGAGGAGTCACTATCAGATCTGTATATGTAAATCCCAGGCTGGCTTATGTGGAGAACAGGTGAACATAAAGAAAAGGTCATAATGAATGGAACCCAATAGGGAGGAGCTGGTTACCCTAGTGAGACACCAATCAACAGGGCTAAGAAGGTGGGAGGGCTTCCAGAACTTTTGGTAAGTAGAAAACACAAAACTTGGTTGGTACCCCACCCCAGAACCCTCTTCTGCTCTTTTTCCTATTTTTTTCTTCTGTGGTAGCAAGGATAACAGTCCTCCAAAGATGATGACATCCAGATCCCCTTGTCAATGAAAATAATCAATAAACAATCTAAGGGACTTGCCTAGTGGTCTAGTGTTTAAGACCCTGCACTTCCACAGCAGGGGGGGGGGGCAATGGTTTGATCCCTGGTCAGGGAAGTTCCATATGCCTCGGAACAAAGCAAAACAGAAAACAACAACCAAAAAACTATAATAGGAAAAGAAAAGAGTATTATTTGAGCCAAACTATAGGCTGGAACACAGCCTACCAGATAACTCTGAGGAACTGCTCCAGAGAAGCATGGTTTTCAGCAGTTTTATGTCTTATTAGGACAAAGAACATCAAACAAGTCAGCAAGACACTCTTTCAAAATTAAAAAAAAAAAAAACAGATCAGCAGGAACACAGTGACTCATGGCCTTGTGCCTGGGAAGGGAGTCTTATCATTCAAAGAGTAACCAACATTGGCACCCCAGAAGGGAGGCATTCAATCTTTATTTTATTTTCAATCTTTATTTTTAAATTTTTTTTTTTTTAGTTCTACCACTTTATTGCTACCAACCCATCTCCCTCCACCCTCATGTACACATGCTCAGTCATGTAACCCCATGGACTGCAGTCCGCCAGGCTCCTCTGTCCATGGACTTTTCTAGGCAAGAATACTGGAGTGGGTTGCCATTTCCTTCTCCACAATCTTTATTTTTAACATGTACATTCTTTACGGTGCCCCGATAAAGAATCTGCCTGCAATGTGGGAGACCTGGGTTCAATCTCTGGTTTAGGAAGATCCCCTGGAGAAGGAAATGGCAACCCACTCCAGCATTCTTGCCTGGAGAACCCCATGGACAGAGGAGCCTGGCTAGCTACAGTTTATGGGGTCAAAAAAAGTTGGACATGACTGAGCGACTCTTCTGGTCAGTGTGCCCTTTTCCTTAATAACTAAAACAGATGTACACTGTAATTTTCATAGGCCACTAACAGACTGTTAGAGTTAGTATAAAATTCAAGTTAACTCTTAACTCGTGTATAAGCCAGAATGACTTCCCATACCTCAATATGTGAAAATTTCTTTTATAGTACCGAACCAGCGAGTCGATTACTTTACACGGTAAAAGTGACTCCACAGATAAGGTTAGGACCTTGAGATGGGGAGATTTTACTGGATTCTCCAGTTGGATGCAGTGTCATCACAAAAGTCCATAAGGGGGAAGGGATGTCAGAGTGGGTAAAGATATATGAATGGAAGCAAAGATGAAAGAGATTTGAAGATGCTAGGTTGTCGGGTTTTTTGTTTTTTTTTTTCTTCTTTAGGTTGTTGGTTTTGAGGATGGAGGATGGGGACCACTAGCCAAGGAGAGAAGTGGTCTCTAGAGAGTGGAAAAGGCAAGGAAATGCATTCTCTTCCAGAACCTTCAGAAGGAAATCAGCCTGCCAGCACCTCCATTGTAGGACCTTTGACCTCCAGAGCTGTAAGATGGTATAAGTTTGTGTCATTTTAAGCCACTTCGTGGCTCAGATGGTAAAGAATCCACCTGCAATTCAGGAGACCAGGGTTTGATTCCTGGGTTGAGAAGATCCCCTGGAGAAGGGAATGACAACCCACTCCAGTATTCTTGCCTGGCAAATCCCATGAACAGAGGAGCCTGGCGGGCTAGAGTCCATGGGATAGCAGAGTCGGACACAGCTGAGTGACTGACACTTTACTTTTTTACTTTTAAGCCCCTTTGTGGTAATATGTTACCGCTGCAATAGGAAATAAATACAACTTCTAACATACTATATAATTTACTCAATTATTATGTTTATTTTTCAATCTCTGTCCCCCTGATAGATGTTCTTCTCCAGGGTAGGAATTTTTGCCTTTTTTTTTTTCTCTAAAGTATCCCAAATTACTTAAAATGGGCCTGGCAAACAGCAGATGCTCAGTCAATGTTAATATATGGATAAATGGATAGATATAGAAAGTGAAGAAAAGGAAAGTGCCAAGGCTTCTCTTGCGCTTTATTGACTGGGAACCTCATGTTATGTTTACTCACAGAAGGAACCGAGGAGCCAGACAGTTTGGAGAGAATCACAAAAACAAAGATGGGTTCAGTTTGAGGTTTGAGAGGTTCTATGGGAGATATAAATAGATAGACATAACGTGAGGGACTTCCCTGCTGGTCCAGTGGCTAAGACTCCACACTCCCAATACAGGAGGCCTGGGTTCACTCCCTAGGCAGAGAACTAGATCCCACATGCCTCAACTAAGAGTTGGCCTGCCGCAACTAAAGATCCCAAGTGCCGCAAATGAGACTCAGTGCAGCCAAAGTAAATAAATATTTACAAATATATATTGCTTTAAAAAAGAAAGAGAAAAATGTGTCAGTAATTCTGCAGAGGCAGCTGGAATGTGGGTCAGGCTGCTAACAGGCCCTGGGGCAGTTCAGTTTCCAAATCCTGAAGCTTGAGGCTTGGGAGGCTTCACAGCACAAGAGTCACAATCAAGTGCTCCCTCAGGATTAAGGTCACAACAGGCAGGGTCCTCAGAATAAGAAGAAACGGATCAGCTTCCCTCCCCAATCCTGGGGCAACTGATAAACTCACAAGTTTCCTCGTCCTTTAACTTTCTTCTTGGATCTTAATTGACGGGAATTGATTGTGTGCCTCCGGAACTTGTAACACCGCCCCAGACACCAGGAAAGACAAAAGCAGTGTTACACGATCTTGCCCTAAGAGGACTTACATTCTAGTTGGAAAGTCAGACGTTCACAAAACTAAATTAAAATAGAAGCAACCATACACGGTGCCGTGCATGGTACTGTCCAGCGGGCGAGGGTGGCTTACTGTGGCTGAAGCATCTAGAAAGACACAGTGGAGCAGAAGTCACGTGAATGGGTCTTCGAGGGGCAGGGGCACAGAGAAAGGCTTTTCTGACCGACAGCAAAGACTGCCAAGAATGCTTTGACTCGTTCAGAGAGCCTTGCCTAACGTGCAGATTCCAGATTGGAGTCTGTTCGGGGAATAAACACTTGGTTTAGGTATACACCACATTTGGGGCATTTTAGTATCCCAGGCAACCTACCATCCCAGCGCATGCGCCTCGCAGGGCTCTCGCGCAGTGTTACCATAGAGGCTCAGGGCTAGATCGTCAACCAGCGCAGAGGCAGACATTTTGGATCCTGGCAGGAAAAAGTTGGACAGGCTGGCACCACTAAAAAGTCAGCCTGAACCGCCCAAGAACGTGAGAGCAAAAGAACGCCCGTGGGGGCGACAAGATCAAAGTTGCGAAACGAATCTTTAATGCCTTCCTAGGAAAAAAATAAGCTTGTGGAAAGTTGCCCACCGCCCTGCCCTTATCTAAGATGGCGACCGTGCGGGCGCTCTAGCTGCGCCTTTCGGATTCCCAGAGGGGGCGGTGCCCTCGTCCATATCTTTGAGGTGATCGGCGGCGCAGGTTGCTTTGCTCTCTCGTCGCGCCTGGTTCCTCAGCGAGTGGCCTTAGGTACAAGGAGGTTGGGGGTCTCGAGACTCTCCCCCGCTCCCCCGCCTCCCGTGTCGGTTTTCTCGGCGCCTTCGCTGCGCTGGCCTCGCGGCCGCCTCCGTCAAAACCACTCCCGGGTGCAGCCCCGCGCGGGCCGGCTGTAACCGCGCCCCCGGGCCGGACGATGCCCAGGAAGCTGCTGCTGCTGCCCCCGCTCTCCGTGTCCTCCGCTTTCCGCGCCCCGCGTGCCTGCCCCGCCGCTCGCCCGGCCATGAACGCCGCCCGCACCGGCTACCGAGTCTTCTCTGCCAACTCCACGGCCGCCTGCACCGAGCTGGCCAAGCGCATCACCGAGTAAGGGGCGGGGGACGGGGATGTCCTAGGGGGCCCTTCCTTTCAGGGAGACCGTCCTTGCTCCTCTGCTTCCACATCCCCCGACCGGGGCGAGGGGTGATTTGGCCCCTTCATCCTGCCGCCCCCACCCCAACTTTGCAGCTGAAAACGCGTTGGGCTGGCCGACTTTTGGCTTTCCCCCCAGCCCACCCCTCGGGTCCTTGGAGCGCCCGCCCTGCTTTCGGCTCCCCACTCCCACCTCCCAGGCGGTGGAACCCCACCCCACCCCCAGATTAGAGCTTTGTGGGAGCCGGGGCGGCTCTGGGTTTGGCTCCTTTTCCCACGGTTGGAGCTGACCTCTGAATCTGATCGCCGCCGTTCCCAAGTCTCCCCACCCTGGGAGACGGAGGCCGGCACGTAGTTACAATATCGGGTGCAGTAGATGGGGCATGGGGCGGCCTTGCAAGTGAAAGACCCCCGAGGCCCAAGATGCACGGACTGAAGCAGACGTGTAGGGGAGGGCAGTGAGGACAAGGCAACCCCAGGGGAGCAGATTTATCGCAGCTTATGATTGGAACGACAGGTCTAACCGTAGTCTGTAAGTCAGTTAGGTTCGATCAGTCTTAAGTCTGCTTTTTCACCTAAGGAAGCCTCCAGCCTCGAGTGGCCTTTGGGGTCTTAGGACCTTGCCCGTCTTGCCCCTGGGCAAGAGACTTGATTTTCCTTAACTTCATTGGTAAAATAGAGACAGTTCCTTCTACTGGACCTAGAACATTGTGAACATGAACCAAATAATGGTTCATGCGTTCAAGTGCCTAGCAGAGCAGAGGTTCATAGTGGCCCTCTGAATAATACATGCTTACTAAATGGCCTCTTTTCTAGTTGGCTCTTGTAGAGAGTTCCAGAGTCCTATTGTAGAGAAAGAACCTTCTGAGCCCTTTGCAAATAAAGTTGTTAAAAAAATAAATAAGCTTGTTTTTTAACTTTTAGAGTCATTCTCACATTTTAAACAACTTACTAGAGTTCTGTGGAGTTTTCAGAGTTTGTAAGTAATGGCATGAATATATTTTAAAATTCTAGATGAAAAATGTAGAAGAAAGGGGAAACTTTAGTGATATTATCTCAGTATTGCCTGTGTTCTTTTCAGTTAGTTTTAAATGAGATTAGAAGAGTGTAAAAAAACACACAGTCCTTTTGCAGTCTACTACCTAGTTTCCATTTCTGACCACTGATTATTTGTCTTTCTTTTTGAGGCCAACTAAAACACTTAATTTTAAATATAAAGCTTGCGTTTGTTTATTTTGGGTCAGATTTACCACAGTGACCTTGCTGAGAGAAACCAGAGAGGGGAGGGCAGAATTAAATAGTCAGTGGTTTTGCCTTGGTCTTATATTTGGTTCTTGAAAAAATTGTTCCAGAAAAGTTTTAAGTTTTAACCATTTTTAAGTGTGCAATTCACTGGCATTAAGTACATTCACAGTGTTGTGTGATTATCAGCACTGTTCATTTCTAGATCTTTTTCATCATTTCAAACAGGAACTCTGTATGCTTTTAAGTACTAACTCCCCTTTATCCACCCCTCCCAGTCCCTGGTAACCTCTGTTCTATCTTCTGTGACTGTGAATGTTCCCATTCTAAGGTCCTCCTATACATGGACTCATACAATGTTTGCATTTCTGTGTCTGACTTTTTTACTTAGAATCTTTTTTTTTCAATCAAGGTTTATCAATAATGCGGGCTTCCCTGGTGGCTCAGATGGTAAAGAATCTGTCCACATCCCTGGGTAGGGAAGATCCCCTGGAGGAGGGCATGGCAACCTACTCCAGTATTCTTGCCTGGAGAATCCCATGGACAGAGGAGCCTGGCCGGGCTACCGTCCATGGGGTCGCAAAGAGTCAGACACAGCTGAGCAGCCGAGCACACAGCACAGCCTCCGTACTGTAGCGTGGACCAGAATCTCACTTCTTGTTAAGACTGAGTAATGTTCTGTTGTGTACTTGGCTGGAGTGTTTTTAAACAGGTTGCAGAACATAAACAACAACCATTATCAACAACCCTTATTTCACTCATAAAAATGGTAATACTGACCAATAAGAACTGGAAACAAACAAAACCCGCCATTAATTCTTTTATGTCTACTCTCTTGTCTAGTCCTAATGTCTAGTTCTTGCGCATATTTCACTGTGTGTGTTAGTCACTCAGTCATGTCTTTGCGACCCCACAGATAGTAGCCCACCAGGCTCCTCTGTCCATGGAGGCAAGAATACTGGAGTGGGCTGCCATTTCCTTTTCCAGGGGATCTTCCTGACCCAGGGCCTGAACCTGGGTCTCCTGCATTATAGGCAGGTTCTTTACCATCTGAGCCACGAGGGAAGCATATTTCCTAGATTGTCTCAGAAATGAGTTTTCCACTTGGTTTGTTCTAATCGGGATCCAAACAAGATTCATACTGCGTTTGGTTAATGACACGGAAGTCTGATGCTTTTGACAATTGAGGCATTTGCCTTTGGCTTGTGTTTTTTGAGTTATTGCTGCTAACCACGTGTTTATTTGGCATCAATTTTGCAAGACAATTATTATTCGAGAAATGATGGAAGTAGATGTTAAACTATGGTTGTGGGCTCTTCCCAGTAAAGCATTGTGTTACAGAATGGTGAGCGCTGGAAGCTGCTCATGGAATGACAGGATTTTTAGTTCTTAATGAGTTAAATTTTCTAAATTTTTTTTTTGTAAGAGAATGCTGGTGTAGTTATTGTAGTCTTTTTGTTAAACACATGCCTGTGAACTGGAGTTTTTCTAAAAAGAGCCTTCATTCTTCTTTTTCAATTAATTTGTTTATTTTTTGGCTGAGTTATGCAGCATGTGGGATCTTAGTTCCCTGACCGGGAATTGAACTCCAGTCCCCTTCATTGGAAGCATGACTTCTCTGATGGTCCAGTGGTTAAGAGTGGTTAAATGCTCCTAAAAGAGCTTTAATTGCTTTTTTTCTCCCTTTAGGCGTCTTGGTGCTGAATTGGGGAAGTCTGTGGTTTATCAAGAGACCAATGGAGGTAAGTTAAACTTCTTAAACGTGCTTTGTCCTTCAAGCTCCGTTTAATTGACTGGCATGTTTTTAAAAGGCGGGTGTTACTCATATTTAACTTAAAAAAATCCGTTGCTCTTTAACAGAAGGGGTGGACGGCTTTCAGATACTTATAAACTTTGACTTCTTATTTTCTCCTTAAGTCTTCTTTCCTGTTGTTCCAAGGTAATGCAAATATCTTGTCATTTTAGAATGAAAAAAGTGATGGAGGAGATTTTTCTTCCTTATTTTGCTGTATTTGATGTATACTTTCTACGTTTATCTGTCTCACTAAGTCATCAAATGGTGTTAGGAGCCATCTGTACTAGATAGGTAATGACTTACTTTAAAAACCTCTTTGAATTAGTTTTATCTCTCATTTTTTCTCTCAAGTCTTGTCAAAGCTTACCCTGGGTTAGTTACCACTTTGTTGCCACCTGAGTCTTTTGTTCCGAACCAGGTGGAGGATGTGGGACTCTTCATTCCCAGCCTGGGATGGAACCCGCACCTCCTGCAGTGGAAGCATGGAGGGCAATTGGACCGCCAGGGAAATCCCCTGCTGGGTTTCCAGGGAGAGCTGGAACATGAAATAATACTGCTTGAAGGCACTTTGTTGATAGCTGTGTTCCAGGAATAAACCCTCAGCTGGGAATTATTTTTGCAAAGTTGAAAGCCTTGGATTCATGTTTCTGTGTTTGCCCAGGAGATAATTAAGATGGAACTGATGTTTGGGGAGCTGAAAAAGCCAAGTATCAGACAGTAATGTAAAGCGTACGTTCTGGAGTGTGTGCAAGTTACATCTGTGTTATAATTAACCCCCAGAAACCCTTAATACAGTTTCCACACTCAACAGCTGTTAACTTGGTGACTTCAGAAGCTTTCCTGCCAGGGCAAGTCAGGAGATGCTTATTTTTGTTGTTGTTAAACACATACCTGTGAACTGGGAGTTTTTCTAAAAAGAGCCTTCATTCTTCTTTTTCAATTAATTTGTTTATTTTTTGGCTGAGTTGCGCAGCATGTGGGAATCTTAGTTCCCCAACTGGGAATTGAACCCCGGTCCCCTTCATTGGAAGTGTGACTTCCAGTGAAGGTGAGTGCATGTAGGTGAGACAGCCTATTTAACAGTAACAGATTTGGTTCATTGTGATGGCATTTGGGGATCTCATTAATGAAGCATTTGAGGAAAGGGAGGTTTAGGGAGGACCTTTTCTTCCATCTTCCCATCACTGTTCTAGGCCTCCTCTCTCTCTCTTGCTGTCAAAGTAGCTTCTTACTTACATTTTTAGCCTTTAGTTTGTTCTGCTCCCCTCCAACGGGTTATTTCCACAATGCAAACATTTTTTACTTATTTCTGCTTCACATTTTATAGGCCAGAGTTCAGTCTCCTTAGCAATCATGTTGGGGCCCTTTGGGACCTAGGTTCTGCCCATCTCACCTGCTTCATCTTTCATCACGTGCATCAGCATGTCTTGTGTGCCCCGATTCAGGAATCCATTTGAAATCTCCCTGCTTCTCTCACTGCCTCCACTGCTGCTGCTCTGATCCAGCGCACTGTCCGTCACTTGCCTGGACTCCTTAAAAAACAACCTAGATGGGGAACACATGTAAATCCATGGCTGATTCATGTCAATGTATGGCAGAAACCACTACAATATTGTAAAGTAATTAGCCTCCAACTAGTAAAAATAAATGGGGGAAAAAGAGAAACCAACATGGAGTGGCTTTCCCCAAGTAGCCTCTCCTGCTTTGCCACCATTCTCTTTACACTGTAGCCAGTCATCACACGGATCCTCCAGTGGTTCTCCTGTCTACTTTGGAATAAAATCCAGACTCAGTCTGGTCCCAGTTGGCTCCCTGCCCTCCTCTCTGTCTCCTTCTCCTCTTTCAGTCTGTTTCCAAATGCACAGTGACACCCCCTCTGCTTGGTACCCTCTGCCCCCGCTGTCCCACACTTTCGTTCCCACTACATGGTCCGGCCTGCGGTGAGGCCATCATTCCCAGGCCTGTTTCTCCTTTCTCGTGGCTGGGCTTTGTCCTATACATTGTCCTGGAGTGTTTGCCAGTCTTTGGCATTGCATTGTCTCTCCTGGGTCAGTCTTCCCCTTGGTCCATGTCCTCCTCTTTGGGACCCCAGCTCAGGGCCTGACACAGAGGAGACCATGGCTTTGTTAAAAAGAATAATAAGGATATTAACCTTTGGCCTCTTTAATTGCTGAATACTTTTCCCTGAGCATCTTGTGTTTATTTAGTGATGGATTTTCTTTTCTGGACCCTGAGATTTTTACATAGACCTGATTATTGCTTTTGCCTTCAAGGTCTATTTTTGGCTTATTTTCCCCTGAGCTTGACTATTTTTTTTTTTTTTACATCAGTACATGTCATTCCCAGATCTACTAAGAATTTATTTTGGTGCACTAAATGAAGTGTTGATTTCAGTTCAGTTCAGTCGCTCAGTCATGTCTGACTCTTTGCGACCCCATGGGCTGCAGCACGCCAGGCTTCCCTGTCCATCACTAACTCCCAGAGCTTGCTCAGCCTCATGTCCACCCAGTCGGTGATGCCACCCAACCATCTCATCCTCTGTTGTGCCCTTCTCCTCCCGCCTTCAGTCTTGCCCAGCATCAGGGTCTTTTCCAGTGAGTTGTTGTTTAAGTTCCGCTTTACTCCCTTCAAGTGTTGGCTTAGATCTCCCTTTACTCCCTCCGATTGCTGCCCAACTCTTACAGCATTCTTTTTTTTTTTTCCTTCTTACAGCATTCTTACATCATTCTTACAGCATGAAGTACTTTTCCTTAAGACTATAGAACATTTTTATTTTTCAGAAACAAGAGTTGAAATAAAAGAATCTGTTCGTGGCCAAGATATTTTCATTATACAGACAATACCCAGGTAAGAGCATGACTTTATCCCTTTTCCTCTAAAAATCTTAGTGATGTAACGTGCTGTCTCTTCATGTGAACTTCAGTTTTCTCTAAATTGTAAATGTGTTTGCATGTTAACTGCTTTCTAAAACATGGTGTATATGTATGCGTTTGCATGTATACACACACATTCGGTCTTTTGGAATTCTTCCCATGATTGTCACACCGCACTTAACTGCTGTGTGTTTACTTGATCATCTTTTCCAAGCTTGAAAATCCTCAAGGACAAAATATCCTCCCTGCGTTTGCCAGGGTCTGTCTGTTCAGCTCTACTGAAAGCCTTTGTTGTTGTTAAATGCAGTGCATAGCCGCTTTGGTTCGTATCCACTGAGGCCGGTTTTTGCACTGCATTTAATTTTGCACAGTGACGGGTTCCCCCCACATTATCTCTATCGCAGATACCATCTACTCCTCTCCAGGCAGGACAGGCCCTGGGAGAATCCTGGCATATCTGAGCGTGAACTTCCCTGTGGGGTTATCTCCTCTCAGCCCCTCACTGGGAATGGGGTTGGTGTCTTTGAAAAATCTAGACCTTCACGTCTCGATCAGATTAGTTCCTGAGACTGTGTGAGTAATAAGCAGGGCCCTGGGTGCCAGCGGCGTGCGGGCGCTTTACATGTGTCACTTTTAATCCTTGCGTGTCAGTTCCACGTGGCCACTCTTGTTTGGCCTCTGATTCTGAGATTTATAATAAGAAATATGGATTTGGTCTTCCTGTCCTGGTGCAGAGCTCCTAAAACTATTGGAACTTCCTCCTTGAGAATAGCAGTCAAATGATCTCCATTATTCAGAACAAGCCCCTTTCAGTTACCGCTGAATTATGTTAACGCAGGGAGTTGTGGAAGTCCCCTGGATAAACCCAGGATGGGGGCTGGTTCCTAGGGGTACCAACCTTGTGATGAGAGGGTGGGTGCTTTCACCCTAGCCCCCGTGACCTCTGGAGAGGAGTTGAATCCATCTCCAGTGGCCAGTGGTTTGACAACTTGTGCTAGTATCATGCTGCTGCTGCTGCTGCTAAGTCGCTTTAGTCATGTCCGACTCTTTGTGACCCCACACACGGCAGCCCACCAGGCTCCCCAGTCCCTGGGATTCTCCAGGCAAGAATACTGGAGTGGGTTGCCATTTCCTTCTCCAGCTTGTATCATGAAGCCTCCGTAAAACCCCCAGAAGGCCTGGGTGTGGAGAGCCTCTGGGTTGGTAAAGATGGGGGTGCTTGGAGGTGGGTGCACTCAGCAAGGGTGGGGACACTCTGCACCCTTCTCCCATACAGCATGCAGGATCTTCGTTCCCTGACCAGGGATCGAACCCGTGCCCCCCTGCAGTGGAAGCACCAAGGCCTAACCACTGGGCCTCCAGGGAATTCCCTGAGTTCTTTTATTGTTATTATTATTATTTTTTTTTAATTTATTTATTTATTTTTTTTTTATCACAACCATAGTGTATCTTTTTTTTTTTTTTTTACATGTATTCCCCATCCCTGTCCCCCCTCCCACCTCCCTCTCCGCCCAATCCCTCTGGGTCTTCCCAGTGCACCAGGCCCGAGCACTTGTCTCATGCACCCAACCTGGGCTGGTGAACTGTTTCACCCTAGATAATATACGTGTTTCAATGCTGTTCTCTTGAAACATCCCACCCTCGCCTTCTCCCAGAGTCCACAAGTCTGTTCTATACATAGGAGTCTCTTTTTCTGTTTTGCACATAGGGTTATCGTTACCATCTTTCTAAATTCCATATATATGTGTTAGTATACTGTAATGGTCTTTATCTTTCAGGCTTACTTCGCTCTGTATAATGGGCTCCAGTTTCATCCATCTCATTAGAACTGATTCAAATGAATTCTTTTTAATGGCTGAGTAATATTCCATGGTGTATATGTACCACAGCTTCCTCATCCATTCATTGTTATTATTAATTTGTTCTAGCAAACTAATCGGAGCTGAGGAGTGGGTCCTAGGAACCTCTCAATTTATAGCAGGTTGGTTAGACATGTGACAGTCTGGACTTGCCTGTATCTGAAGTGAGGAAGGGCGGTCTCATGGGACTGGGCCCTTAAGCTGTGGGATCTGTTGCTATGTCCAGAGAGAGACAGTCAGAATTGAACTGAATTGTAGGACACCCAGGTGGTATCCCCAAGATTCTGAGGATTACGTATGTATGGGAAAACCCCTACACATTTGGTGACCAGCAGTATTCAGTGTTGTGAATGTACAGAGAAGGAAAAAAGCCTTTTCCTTACAGTCCCCTCTGAAGGGATTGAGAAAGCTGGGCCTGAAGGAAGCTGAGGACCACAGGGTCATGGAGAGAGTGATCTGAACCCTAGTATCGTTTCCTTATATAGTGATAACTGGTAGCTACTAAGTATTTTAATATTTTTTCTGAACATAGGAGTAATAATCATCTCTAAAAACACAGGCTTTATAGAAACGTGTATCAGAAAATAAAAATGCCCCAGCCCTCAATCCACCCGCCTAGTCTTCTGAGATAACTAGTATAAGTAGGTGTTCATTCCTCTCTGTTGGATATGTACAAACAAATTTAGGCTCCATAATTCAGGTGATCCTCAAAACCAAAATAAAAGCCATTTTAATTTGTCTGAGTGGTTCAGATTTCAAAAGGGTGTGTAACGAGGCCCGCCTCTGCCCTCAGCCACTCCACTTCCCTACCTGGATGTGGCAAGTGTCATCAGGTTCCTAGGCATCCTTTCAGAGACTCTGCATGTTCAAGCAGTTGCGTGTATGTTTTTCTTAATTTTTTGCATAGAAGGAGCCTGATAGGGAGTTCCCTGGCAGTCTGGTGGTGAGGACTGTACCCTTCTGCTGCAGGGGGTACGGGTTTGATCCCGTACTAAGATGGGGACTAAGATCCATGTATCATATCAACATAGAACGAGCCACCTCATCTTTTAAAGATTCAGATTTTGAAACAGTCACAGACTTAGAGAAGACTTACCTGTGCAGTGCAGCCACTGAGACAAACTTGCCAGTCTGACATCTCCCCACCCCCCAAACACTGTTCAGTGTGTGGTTCCTACAAAGGAGAGCTTCCTCTCTCTCTCTCTCTCTCTCTTTTGTTTCCTGCACCACATGGCCTGTGGGATCTAATTCCCCAACCAGGGATCAAACCCGGGTCAGTGGCAGTGAAAGCTCGAGTCTTAACCACCGGACCCCAAGTTAGTTCCCAACGAGGGCGTTCTGTACCACCACAGTCAGGACACTGAGACCTCTGTGTCATGACTGCCTAAGCCTCAGGCCCCATCCCCTGGTGTCCGCTGTCCCCGGGGCTCTTCCTGGCTCAGGGAGCCAGCTGAGGCTCAGGCGGCGCTCACTTGTCATGTCTCTCATCTTCTAGACAGTCTGGCACCGTCCCTTAGTCTTTCCTTGACTTTGGAAACTTTTGACGCTTTTGGAAGATGTTGACACTTCGGCCAGTTGATTTTGTTGCGTGCCCCTCAGGATAGGCAGTTTATTTCCTTGGTGGCAGGAAGTTGTGCTTTATCTAATTATTGGTTTCCATATCATGGTAACCAAGAATGCAGTAGAAATATTAATACATGCAATCCAGGGTGAAGTTGGGACAGTACTATAGACTGAACTTTATAATGTGCACATGTTTTCCAGGGGGAGGATAAAATAAACATGGAAAAACATGTTGGTTAATAGCTTACTGGCAAATATTTTTTGTTTTTTTGTTTGTTTTTTCTACTCATGCTTAGGATATTTGAAATTTAACCAAAGGAAGAGGTAGGGAGCAGTCCTCGGAGTTACAGTGGAGAGAGTGAATCTTATAGCATAACATGACAGTAATTTTACATACTCACCATGTGGAAAGGCTTCTCTTTGAAGAAGCAGCACAGATACACGAGATGCTTTTAGAAACCAGAACCCTGTCCTGAAGATGGTGGGGTTCCCCGTGTGTACTTGTTTTGAGATTATTTTAGAAGCCACCGTTGTCTTCCCTGTGGTTCAGTTTGGTGGTATCAAAGCAAAAACACCTTCCCTGGACAGTTCCTGTATCTTTCAAGATGATGGGGATGAGAGAGGAAATTTGGAGAAAAGACAAAGAGAATGTGTGTGGGTGTGGATCCCATGTAGAGTTATTGGGTTTATCCCAATAAACAGTATAAAACAACATTCTGTTGCCTGACTTAAGAATATTTGAATGACAACTAAATTTAGTTAATTTAGTGGGGAATTTAGTTTTTTAGTCCTATTTGCCATACATGGTTGTATAGATTGCCGATTGGTGCAAAATGCACAGCCTAAAAGTTGTAAGTTAGGTTTTATTTGAGGACCTTACTTGAGGACTATAGCCTTGGAGCCAGTCTAACAGATGGAGCTAAGGAACCACTCTGATGAGGTAAGAGGAACCAGAATATGTGTGAGGTATTTTCCGGGTAGGGGCGGAGTGGGGATAGTGAAACATCAGAAGACTGTTGCTGATCACAAAGCAGAGACATCACAATGATTTTAGTGCTTTTCTGTACTTGGGAAGACAAGGGTTTTTGGTCATTGAAATTAGCCCTTAGGCATGCATCTGTTTTTCTAGGGCCTGTTACCCAAAGCCTAGAGAGCCGCTTGTTTTTCTCCATCCTGAATTCCCCTTAGGGCTTGACTCTGGTGGAAGTCAAGAGGTGTCCTGGGCAAGGTATGCAGGGAGGGGTCCAGAACTTTCAGCCGCTCTCCCCCCAGCTCTCCAACCCAGAAGTTCTCTCAACTCCCTCCTTTTGGTTTTTACAGAGGCTTCATTACAAAGGTATGATCTATTAAATCATTAGCCTTTGGCGATTGTTTGAATCCACAAGGTAGGACTTAGTCACGGGGTAGGACTGAAAGTTCAACTTCTCTAACATGTCATGTGTCTCCCAGGCAACCAGTCTCCTCCTCCAGGTACAGTCCGAAAGTCACCTCATTAACATAAGGTGTCCCTTTATTGTCTCAAAGCTTAGGACATTCCAAGGGTTTCCAGAAA